GATCATCTGGGTTTCGATACAACAAACTTCAACTGCACAAGTACATTCTGGGAATACAGCTGCAGGAAACCAAGCAATTCAAACATTAAGCATGCATAAACAACATTCCATAAACTTATCAAAAAAGAAAGAGCATCTTGGGCACAACTAGCGCCTCAGAGGCGGAGCCAGTGTGCACAACGGCAACAGGAAGTGTCATGGGAATCCAGGAAAACACAGCAAGGCAAGGGCCGAGTCATACATTTACCGCGAGCTGCATGGACAAGCACAAAAAGAACAAAGCTCACACAAACACTCCAAGTGATCTCAAAACACCTCTGCTCCACAAGGGCTTGGGGTCGATTCCCCTCAAGAGGACACAGCAAAATTGCACACATCCGAGCTACCGGGCACACTACCCACGAGCAGAAAGCAAAACGACAAAAAGTTTGCCAGCCTGACGCACGCGACATGAAAAGACATGCAACACCTGCAACAAAACTACAGTCTAATTTTACACACCAGAACATCAAGTCTCAAAGGAGACCATCAAAAATTGCCATGGCTGACTATATTTCAAGTCATCCTAGCGGGTATTGGGTAAAGTTTTCAACCAGCAATGATCGCGCCTCGGATTAACCTCACAGGCTACGATATTGCCTCTGCGAAAGAATGACGGGCTTAGTCAGAAGTATGCATGCACACATTTGGCGCCGAAGGACTCAAGAACGGTAAACAATTAAGCAACATATGGTAATGAGATCATCTGGGTTTCGATACAACAAACTTCAACTGCACAAGTACATTCTGGGGAATACAGCTGCAGGAAACCAAGCAATTCAAACATTAAGCATGCATAAACAACATTCCATAAACTTATCAAAAAAGAAAGAGCATCTTGGGCACAACTAGCGCCTCAGAGGCGGAGCCAGTGTGCACAACGGCAACAGGAAGTGTCATGGGAATCCAGAAAACACAGCAAGGCAAGGGCCGAGTCATACATTTACCGCGAGCTGCATGGACAAGCACAAAAAAGAACAAAGCTCACACAAACACTCCAAGTGATCTCAAAACACCTCTGCTCCACAAGGGCTTGGGGTCGATTCCCCTCAAGAGGACACAGCAAAATTGCACACATCCGAGCTACCGGGCACACTACCCACGAGCAGAAAGCAAAACGACAAAAAGTTTGCCAGCCTGACGCACGCGACATGAAAAGACACGCAACACCTGGGACAAAACTACAGTCTAATTTTACACACCAAAACATCAAGTCTCAAAGGAGACCATCAAAAATTGCCATGGCTGACTATATTTCAAGTCATCCTAGCGGGGTATTGGGTAAAGTTTTCAACCAGCAATGATCGCGCCTCGGATTAACCTCACAGGCTACGATATTGCCTCTGCGAAAGAATGACGGGCTTAGTCAGAAGTATGCATGCACACATTTGGCGCCGAAGGACTCAAGAACGGTAAACAATTAAGCAACATATGGTAATGAGATCATCTGGGTTTCGATACAACAAACTTCAACTGCACAAGTACATTCTGGGAATACAGCTGCAGGAAACCAAGCAATTCAAACATTAAGCATGCATAAACAACATTCCATAAACTTATCAAAAAAGAAAGAGCATCTTGGGCACAACTAGCGCCTCAGAGGCGGAGCCAGTGTGCACAACGGCAACAGGAAGTGTCATGGGAATCCAGAAAACACAGCAAGGCAAGGGCCGAGTCATACATTTACCGCGAGCTGCATGGACAAGCACAAAAAAGAACAAAGCTCACACAAACACTCCAAGTGATCTCAAAACACCTCTGCTCCACAAGGGCTTGGGGTCGATTCCCCTCAAGAGGACACAGCAAAATTGCACACATCCGAGCTACCGGGCACACTACCCACGAGCAGAAAGCAAAACGACAAAAAGTTTGCCAGCCTGACGCACGCGACATGAAAAGACACGCAACACCTGGGACAAAACTACAGTCTAATTTTACACACCAGAACATCAAGTCTCAAAGGAGACCATCAAAAATTGCCATGGCTGACTATATTTCAAGTCATCCTAGCGGGGTATTGGGTAAAGTTTTCAACCAGCAATGATCGCGCCTCGGATTAACCTCACAGGCTACGATATTGCCTCTGCGAAAGAATGACGGGCTTAGTCAGAAGTATGCATGCACACATTTGGCGCCGAAGGACTCAAGAACGGTAAACAATTAAGCAACATATGGTAATGAGATCATCTGGGTTTCGATACAACAAACTTCAACTGCACAAGTACATTCTGGGAATACAGCTGCAGGAAACCAAGCAATTCAAACATTAAGCATGCATAAACAACATTCCATAAACTTATCAAAAAAGAAAGAGCATCTTGGGCACAACTAGCGCCTCAGAGGCGGAGCCAGTGTGCACAACGGCCACAGGAAGTGTCATGGGAATCCAGAAAACACAGCAAGGCAAGGGCCGAGTCATACATTTACCGCGAGCTGCATGGACAAGCACAAAAAAGAACAAAGCTCACACAAACACTCCAAGTGATCTCAAAACACCTCTGCTCCACAAGGGCTTGGGGTCGATTCCCCTCAAGAGGACACAGCAAAATTGCACACATCCGAGCTACCGGGCACACTACCCACGAGCAGAAAGCAAAACGACAAAAAGTTTGCCAGCCTGACACACGCGACATGAAAAGACACGCAACACCTGGGACAAAACTACAGTCTAATTTTACACACCAAAACATCAAGTCTCAAAGGAGACCATCAAAAATTGCCATGGCTGACTATATTTCAAGTCATCCTAGCGGGGTATTGGGTAAAGTTTTCAACCAGCAATGATCGCGCCTCGGATTAACCTCACAGGCTACGATATTGCCTCTGCGAAAGAATGACGGGCTTAGTCAGAAGTATGCATGCACACATTTGGCGCCGAAGGACTCAAGAACGGTAAACAATTAAGCAACATATGGTAATGAGATCATCTGGGTTTCGATACAACAAACTTCAACTGCACAAGTACATTCTGGGAATACAGCTGCAGGAAACCAAGCAATTCAAACATTAAGCATGCATAAACAACATTCCATAAACTTATCAAAAAAGAAAGAGCATCTTGGGCACAACTAGCGCCTCAGAGGCGGAGCCAGTGTGCACAACGGCAACAGGAAGTGTCATGGGAATCCAGAAAAACACAGCAAGGCAAGGGCCGAGTCATACATTTACCGCGAGCTGCATGGACAAGCACAAAAAAGAACAAAGCTCACACAAACACTCCAAGTGATCTCAAAACACCTCTGCTCCACAAGGGCTTGGGGTCGATTCCCCTCAAGAGGACACAGCAAAATTGCACACATCCGAGCTACCGGGCACACTACCCACGAGCAGAAAGCAAAACGACAAAAAGTTTGCCAGCCTGACGCACGCGACATGAAAAGACACGCAACACCTGGGACAAAACTACAGTCTAATTTTACACACCAGAACATCAAGTCTCAAAGGAGACCATCAAAAATTGCCATGGCTGACTATATTTCAAGTCATCCTAGCGGGGTATTGGGTAAAGTTTTCAACCAGCAATGATCGCGCCTCGGATTAACCTCACAGGCTACGATATTGCCTCTGCGAAAGAATGACGGGCTTAGTCAGAAGTATGCATGCACACATTTGGCGCCGAAGGACTCAAGAACGGTAAACAATTAAGCAACATATGGTAATGAGATCATCTGGGTTTCGATACAACAAACTTCAACTGCACAAGTACATTCTGGGAATACAGCTGCAGGAAACCAAGCAATTCAAACATTAAGCATGCATAAACAACATTCCATAAACTTATCAAAAAAGAAAGAGCATCTTGGGCACAACTAGCGCCTCAGAGGCGGAGCCAGTGTGCACAACGGCAACAGGAAGTGTCATGGGAATCCAGAAAACACAGCAAGGCAAGGGCCGAGTCATACATTTACCGCGAGCTGCATGGACAAGCACAAAAAAGAACAAAGCTCACACAAACACTCCAAGTGATCTCAAAACACCTCTGCTCCACAAGGGCTTGGGGTCGATTCCCCTCAAGAGGACACAGCAAAATTGCACACATCCGAGCTACCGGGCACACTACCCACGAGCAGAAAGCAAAACGACAAAAAGTTTGCCAGCCTGACGCACGCGACATGAAAAGACACGCAACACCTGGGACAAAACTACAGTCTAATTTTACACACCAAAACATCAAGTCTCAAAGGAGACCATCAAAAATTGCCATGGCTGACTATATTTCAAGTCATCCTAGCGGGGTATTGGGTAAAGTTTTCAACCAGCAATGATCGCGCCTCGGATTAACCTCACAGGCTACGATATTGCCTCTGCGAAAGAATGACGGGCTTAGTCAGAAGTATGCATGCACACATTTGGCGCCGAAGGACTCAAGAACGGTAAACAATTAAGCAACATATGGTAATGAGATCATCTGGGTTTCGATACAACAAACTTCAACTGCACAAGTACATTCTGGGAATACAGCTGCAGGAAACCAAGCAATTCAAACATTAAGCATGCATAAACAACATTCCATAAACTTATCAAAAAAGAAAGAGCATCTTGGGCACAACTAGCGCCTCAGAGGCGGAGCCAGTGTGCACAACGGCAACAGGAAGTGTCATGGGAATCCAGAAAACACAGCAAGGCAAGGGCCGAGTCATACATTTACCGCGAGCTGCATGGACAAGCACAAAAAAGAACAAAGCTCACACAAACACTCCAAGTGATCTCAAAACACCTCTGCTCCACAAGGGCTTGGGGTCGATTCCCCTCAAGAGGACACAGCAAAATTGCACACATCCGAGCTACCGGGCACACTACCCACGAGCAGAAAGCAAAACGACAAAAAGTTTGCCAGCCTGACGCACGCGACATGAAAAGACACGCAACACCTGGGACAAAACTACAGTCTAATTTTACACACCAAAACATCAAGTCTCAAAGGAGACCATCAAAAATTGCCATGGCTGACTATATTTCAAGTCATCCTAGCGGGGTATTGGGTAAAGTTTTCAACCAGCAATGATCGCGCCTCGGATTAACCTCACAGGCTACGATATTGCCTCTGCGAAAGAATGACGGGCTTAGTCAGAAGTATGCATGCACACATTTGGCGCCGAAGGACTCAAGAACGGTAAACAATTAAGCAACATATGGTAATGAGATCATCTGGGTTTCGATACAACAAACTTCAACTGCACAAGTACATTCTGGGAATACAGCTGCAGGAAACCAAGCAATTCAAACATTAAGCATGCATAAACAACATTCCATAAACTTATCAAAAAAGAAAGAGCATCTTGGGCACAACTAGCGCCTCAGAGGCGGAGCCAGTGTGCACAACGGCAACAGGAAGTGTCATGGGAATCCAGAAAACACAGCAAGGCAAGGGCCGAGTCATACATTTACCGCGAGCTGCATGGACAAGCACAAAAAAGAACAAAGCTCACACAAACACTCCAAGTGATCTCAAAACACCTCTGCTCCACAAGGGCTTGGGGTCGATTCCCCTCAAGAGGACACAGCAAAATTGCACACATCCGAGCTACCGGGCACACTACCCACGAGCAGAAAGCAAAACGACAAAAAGTTTGCCAGCCTGACGCACGCGACATGAAAAGACACGCAACACCTGGGACAAAACTACAGTCTAATTTTACACACCAAAACATCAAGTCTCAAAGGAGACCATCAAAAATTGCCATGGCTGACTATATTTCAAGTCATCCTAGCGGGGTATTGGGTAAAGTTTTCAACCAGCAATGATCGCGCCTCGGATTAACCTCACAGGCTACGATATTGCCTCTGCGAAAGAATGACGGGCTTAGTCAGAAGTATGCATGCACACATTTGGCGCCGAAGGACTCAAGAACGGTAAACAATTAAGCAACATATGGTAATGAGATCATCTGGGTTTCGATACAACAAACTTCAACTGCACAAGTACATTCTGGGAATACAGCTGCAGGAAACCAAGCAATTCAAACATTAAGCATGCATAAACAACATTCCATAAACTTATCAAAAAAGAAAGAGCATCTTGGGCACAACTAGCGCCTCAGAGGCGGAGCCAGTGTGCACAACGGCAACAGGAAGTGTCATGGGAATCCAGAAAACACAGCAAGGCAAGGGCCGAGTCATACATTTACCGCGAGCTGCATGGACAAGCACAAAAAAGAACAAAGCTCACACAAACACTCCAAGTGATCTCAAAACACCTCTGCTCCACAAGGGCTTGGGGTCGATTCCCCTCAAGAGGACACAGCAAAATTGCACACATCCGAGCTACCGGGCACACTACCCACGAGCAGAAAGCAAAACGACAAAAAGTTTGCCAGCCTGACACACGCGACATGAAAAGACACGCAACACCTGG